TTATAGCTTGTTTTTTCCTTGTAAGCTAGGTTTTATCAATCAAGCTAAATCAACGTGGATGATGAGGATGCTCATAGACTGAACTGAATGCTGTAATTTAGGTTACGAACTGTGGAGGGAAAAAAAGAAGAAGTAAACCCTAGATCCGGCGAGGACCTCGCCGATGGCTGCCCTTGGTCGCTGGAAGGTCCCCATCATCGTCTGACCACTCCCGGTGATCAAAGGAGGGTTGTGGGCAGAGTAAATTCATGCAGAGAAAAAAAGGGAAAGAAAAAGAAAAAAAATTAGAGGAAGAAGAGGAACTGGTTTTGGGGAAAAGAAAAGGGTGAAAATTCTATTACACCTCCTAGTTGTTTCAAAATTATTATTATGCCCAAACTGAGATGCAGATGTTGTCTTTGCCCAAAAAAACTACTTTTTTAACCCCTGAAGTTCACAAAGTTTAAGCACAGGACCTGACAAAGAAAGCTAGAATCATAAGCAGGGATAATTACTTATAGACTCCTGATAGTCCCACTGTATGCAAATTGGTCTAAATTGAGTAATTGCAAGGATAGTTATATGTAGCCCCATGGAATGTCAATAAGTAGTTAACAGGGTCAACATATAGTAGGCAAGTGTTATAAAAGTTTGATAAATTGATTAAATGAATATTAAGCCTATGTGAACCCTATTTATTGGTCTTGATTACTATCTGATTATATTTGATACTAATTGGACCTAGATTATAGAGTGATTAACATATAATATGGGTTTGTCTTGAATTAATATTAATCTTATACCTTTATCCTATAGGAACTGGTTGATAGCAAGGGTGCTCATATTTTGATAAACTCGAACAGTATAATGTGAGTTCATTTCTCACTAGTATTTTTATAATATAAAATTGCATGTGTTATAATTGATTGATCTTGTGCTCAAAAAAATAATTAATTCTATTATTTTTATGTTATAAAATGAAATGTGATTTGATCTATTATGTTGCAACCTAACCCATATTATGATTTTGATTTCGTAGGAGATAGTAAAAGTAAATTTGATTTCATGTAAAATGTGATAAGTGATTTTGGTTCTCATATAATCATCTCAAATAGTTGTGAATATTGCATTATTTAAAGCTATTGAAGAAAGAAATGATTTAAATATGTTCTAACAGTTTGACAGATTCAAGAGATTTTCCCGTGATTTGGTATTTGAAATAAAAAATTTAATGAAAAATAAATTTCGTGAACTATTTCAATTGAGATAATATTACGCTCATCCGCCTGATTTAAACTATTTATAATTTTGACAAGTAAACATACCCATATTATTTTGGTAAAAGTGACGAAGACGAGCAATTCGTCAAGTAAGATGTTTTTTTTTTTTTGAATCAAGTGTTTTGATAAGTGATGCATTTTCGAAATCAAAATATCTGACAAGCGATTCTCAATGTTTCCAAAACCCCTTAAAAGTCCACTATGAAGTGATGTATTTGTGCTTGCTATATGGTTTGAATGCACCTTTCTGTGGCCCTTTTGGGCATTTGTAATATGGCCCTTTTGGGCATTTGTGATGTGACCAACGGCCTATGGCAACGTTAGGTGCAATCTATTCCTAGAAACTATGCGTTATGTGATGCGTTTTACACATTCCACTGCTACTGAGCTATAATATTCATAGCCTTAGTGTGATCTATGAGGTGATCCTTGCAACTATGTGAACAACTCATCGAGATTCCAGATTTTTAATATTTGACCATGAATTTGAGAAAACAGTAACCTTATGGTTTGCACAAATTTATTTAATACTCCATTTTTTCTCGAAATTTATCTTGATTTCAAAAAGTTTAATTCAGGATATATACACAATTTGCTCTGCAGTTCTATCATGAGCAGGTATATATATTTTGAAAAAAGTTATGTGATATTATGTGCCAGGATTGATACATGCAAAAGATTTGTCATGTGCACGCGTCACTGTCAAGGTTTTAAATGTCGGATGTCGGGTTCATGTCGGATGACTGAAATCCATATCGGATAGCGGAAATCGGGGATATATCGGGGGACATTGACTAAATATCGGATTGTCATATCAGGTAGTGCGCATATGTATAATATCATGTCCTAAATGTAATCTAAGCATTCATAAATTCAATATAAGCATACTTTATAAATTCTATAGAGTAAACATATAAAAAGTACATAATATATGGATTTGGGTTCATAAATTCTTTCTATCGGGTTCATAAGAAACCCTTAAACATGAAAACGGGTCAAACGGGTTTGGAAATTATCACTAAACCCAAATCCGATAACAAAAAACAGACCTTAAAAAAAGTACGATATCGGTCAATTTTTTAAAGCTAAAAAATAGGCCGATATGCCCGATATGACCCTCATATTTCCGATTTAGCCCTGAAAACCGACATACGAGTTGAAAACGTCCATGTCGTGTCGGTCAAGCCCTCAAACCGATATGTCGGCCGACATTTAAAACCTTGACTGTTGACGTGTACCCATATGTATCATTCGCTGCGGTCTTGCAACGTGACACTCCTCAAGAACTATAAATTAGATAAAATTTCTTCAAGTATATCATCAAGATTCAAATTTCACAAGACTAAATATACATGAAAATTAATTGATATACGGTGAAAGATACGCAAATTATCAGATAAGCATTGTGTTAATTTCACAGTTGTAGAGATCTAAGGTAATAAAAACATATGAAGAATTGAAGATGCATGCAGAAATAAAGATCAACATACAATCTCGGTTGGCTTGTTTTGTTTATACTCCGCATTCTTCTGTGCCACAACCTTTTCTAATGTCTCCTGATCCCAATCCTCCATCGATCCTAACGAAACAAAATACAATCCCCAAATAAACAAACAATAAATCATTAACTATCGATCAATGCCATCAAATTAAACTATTTCATTTACCTTCATCACGCTTATCACTATAAATATCAATCTTTTCTCCTTTCCTTTGCACATTCAAGTCATGTGAAAACTTGCACTTGAAACCCTTGGCGCACTGCCCCGCCTTATAAAACTCACAAAGTATTGATTTCGGATCAACACCTAATAAAAATCAAAACCCTAGTCAATAAAAGAAAAACACTAAAAACCCCTACAAATTGCAATCAAATAAGCAAAACCCTCACCAACTGGGACTTTAGGCTGACTAACGGCGACCTTAAACAAATCATTCAGCTCCTTCTCTTTAGCCTTCTCTTCTTCCTTCTTCTTCTGCAAATAAAAAACAAACAAAAATTGAGCTTTATCAGATTTCCGCCCCAAAATCAGTAAGCCCCAGCGTAAAGTTATCACCTTTGCAGCAATTTTAGAAGAATCGGGCTTGGGATGAACGGATTGATGCAGACTTTGGACGTATTTTTGGACATTTTTCGATTTATTCTTGTTCTTGAGGCCGAAGGTTTTGTCTTCGACGATCTTCTGCTTCTTGGCGACGTCGGCCTTAGATTGCTGCTTTGGAGGCATGGGGGATTGGCATCAAGGGAGTGGGATTTGGGAATTAGGGTTTCACGATTTGATTTGGAGTTTTTGAAGGGAAAAAAATTTTCAAGGTTTTTCCCCCTCTTTCTGCGGGAGTTTGGGACTTCGAAGCAGAAGAGAAGGATCGGGGTAAATTCTGGATTGAT